ACAACTTCTAAGAAGTAACTCAGAAGACAAATTAATGAAACTAACTCTGGAGGAAATATAAAATTTGAATAGCATCTATTAAAGAAAGTATATTCCTATCTTGAAAACCTACCTATATGACAACAGCAGGCTCATAAACATTTTAACTGATAAAATATTGCCAATATATTGCACGAATTAAAACATATGGTTCAGATTCTGAGACTACTTTTTGTCTTTTTGTCCAGTTCTGTAGTGACATATAACAGGAGCACAATAAATGTTTAACGTATGAGTTTGTATTGATTGAATTAAGCGAGGTCTCCCTTTCAACTAGATCACTCAGCATTTTTATGTTGATATTTAGGCGTTCACTATTAAATACAATGAAAGGCAAGTGCTATTTTAATATGTATGAGGGGAAAAGGGAGTCTAGGCCAATGATCATCACATTAAAAAGTTCATGGCGGGCTGGGGATGTTTACCCTTATCCATGTGTGCATCCACCCATTTTTTTTTATTTTTTAATTTTTTTTCTTGGTACCAGGGATTGAACTGGGGACCTTGAGCTTGCGAGGCAGGCAGCAGCACCACTGAGCTAAATCCCCGGCCATCCATTCATTTTTTATTTTTATTTATTTATTTTATTTATTTTGGTACCGGGGATTGAACTGAGGACCTTGCACTTTCGAGGCAGGTGCCAGAACCACTGAGCTAAATCCCCGGCCATCCATTCATTTTTTATTTTTATTTATTTATTTTATTTATTTTGGTACCGGGGATTGAACTGAGGACCTTGCACTTTCGAGGCAGGTGCCAGAACCACTGAGCTAAATCCTTGGCCCTAATCCATCCATTTTTTAGAATGAAATCATCTATTTCATAAGCTGCTTTTGAAATGTAATATAGCATGAATTTTTTTACCACATTAACGAATATATTATTTTCAATAAGTGTATTGATGTATGCACTACATATATGTCAATAAATACATCAGCTTGAATGAGTTAAGTAACCAGAGTAATAATTGTATGTTACTTTACAATTGACAAAGTAATTTCACATATATTACTTTATTATCTTTGCCAAAGATGATTAGATAGTCAGTATAGTTCCTGAATTATGGGGTTACAGATGATTACCAAGTGCAAGCAATTCCCCGGGCTACTTCATTCAAGGGAGACCCATCCTGTCCTCTCAGAAGATGATCCCAAGCTGGCAGCCTTAGAGATGACACAGGTTAATAAGCATAAGCTCCAGCTCAGAACAGGGGCAGAATTGCTGTGTCTTTGATTTGGAAGGGTTGTTATCCACTCTTATCTTTTCCTCACCTTCAAACTCCCCCGCATTGTTTAAGGGGTTGTTAAATCTCTGGAGGTGGTTTAATTATCAACCCAGGGTGAATTTGCCAAGGTTGGGAAGGAACTGGCCCTGAACTGGCCCTTCCAGACTGCTTGCAAATGGTCTTGAAAGGAATTTTCACCTTCTTTCAACCCACATTGGGCAATAAAGTAGACTGACTCTGGGGTAAATCACACTGACCTCTGCCCACCTGCTCCTGGTGCTCACATCCACCTACTTTGTATTTTTTCAGTTTCTTTCTTGGGACTCTCTTTTTGCCTGAGATATCCAAGTCTTCATTTATGTTACCCACCTTCCATTGTAAAACTAAAGAGAATGTTGACACAGGAAAACTCAATGGTTTAGTTATTTCCAGAATAGCTACTTTTCTAAAAGTCAGTGTCCCTAAGCAAGGCTGTCCCCAGATGTTCTGGGCAGTACCTTGCCCTCCCCAGACACTTCCTCATTTCAGGCCCTTGGGAATAGAAACCACACATTACCAGCCATAGACGGCAATCTCTACATGAGGAATGGCTGTTGTTACCTGTTCCTTGTAACTATTCTAGGAGGCAGTTATTGCAGTCTTTTTGTTCCAAAGAGGAAACTGAGGTTTGGAAAGGTAATAATGGAGGCATTTGACTCAGGGCTGTCAGTCCTTCTGAGGTGGCCTTCCCTGTAGTTGAGCAGCAGGCCTTTTATACTTCTCCTAGCTGTAAAACCCTTCAAATAGAATGCAGATAAACAAGCCCACAGAGAGCAAAGCTGCCTTCCTTAAAGCTGCAAAGGGTAGCATCTAAGGCTCCTCTTGCTTCCCAGTGGTGTGAGACATCTCTGCCAGAACTCAGGAATCAGTGTTAAAACTGTCACAGAAGGATTCCAGGACACAAACAGGGTGTGTCTGTGTCTTTGAAACACTCTGCTGTCTTTCCAGGTATTTAGAGTTTAGAAGCCAATCATCTGGGCCTAGATGGAAGACAGGAACTATGGGACCTTTGGTTTATGTTCTCCGGGTTGGAAGTGGACATTGATGCCAAAAAAGAGACAACTAAGGATGGGAATGGCTCTAACCTAGGACTCTAATCAGCACTGCTGAGGGTTCTTTGAGGTCACTTAGTAGAAGCTGCCCAGTGTGGTAACCATCTGAATAAGTCACAGTAAAGGTTGGGCAGAAAGTGCAGTAGTGCAGTTCTTGATGGTGTCTGAGGCTTACTCTAGCCCACCCAGGGCAGCCTGTAGGACCTCCCGACCATGCACACAATCCCACACCTACCTACCAGTCACACATTTGTGTACATCTACTGTGTACAGGAGCCTGGAGCAGGCCATGAGAATGCAAAGGTTTAAAACTGCTGTACCTGTTCTTTAGGAGTCCGTAGATTCGCAAACAACTGTAATACATAGGATCCCAAACAAGGGGATGGTAGAGAAAGCTTCTTATGGTGTCCGGCCACCAAATAAAATTTAAGTTCTTGTCTAGACAAGTCAAGACCTGTAACTCTCCATTTCCTCTCAACATAAAGAAGATGATAATCTCTGAAAGCCTTAGGAGGGTAAAACGTGGTCCAGGGAGACTGGCCAGGCCACCATGAGGGCCCATATGTAGGCCCTGGCACACTGGGTAACACACTCCTCTTCTTTGGAGCCAAGCTAACTTGCTTGGGATGCTTTGAGAGCAAACCCATGCTCTGGTTCACCTGTTTCTAGACTACTCTAGAGGCTTATCTAGACCACTTGTCTCTGTGCATGCCGCCCCCTCTCTGGAGGTCTGGGCCTCTTTCTTCACTTAGCAGCCAAGGCTTTAGCTCAAGGACCACCTCTTGCTCCTATCTGTGTCTGATTTGTTCCTAGTATCTCTTATCAAGACTCATCAGTCTCTGTTCTACCTGTTGTCTTTTCTGTCTTTCTCACTAATCTGTTTGCAGATCTGTCTTTTATCATATGTTTCAGTTCCTGGCATTGAGCTTTATGCCTGGTAAATATTTAGTAGATGCTTAAAATGAATGAATGAATATATGGTGGGATATTTGAATTGGATCTTGAAAGTTGATTAGCATTTACCAAGTATAGAAATGGTAGAAGGACACTCTAAAGAGGAGGAATTTTGAGTTGGCCCAGGGCCCTCAATGATGTATTCCATGGATGTGCTTTATATATGCTGCTAAACCTGCCTAGGGCTTGCTTTCCTCATCTGCCAAATAGTGATAATACTTATTGTACTGGCTTGGTGTAGGGATTTCAGATGATGCTTGTAAAGTGCCTTAGCACTTTGTTGCTAAGATATCACAATAAATAGATAGTAAGTTTATTTCTTAATTAAAATGGCCTTTGCTGCTGCCTGCACAGAATTGATGACTTTTATAAGAAATTTGAGGTTGGTATTGAAAATATGAGCACCATTCTTCTGACTATTCACAGCCTTTTAGTTTCTTGTCCTGACTTATTCTTGGAAGGATTGAATGGTGGCTTTGGTTGGGAATTCATAGAATAGTTCTTCCAGTAAGCTTTGTACTCCACATTCTCTGACTCACAGGACATGACAAATTCTTTATGTAGACTTGAAAGGTAGGGAAGGCACACCAAAGCTCTCACACCTGATGCATGTGCTGCCTCAGCCCAGTGGTCTGCCCTTGAGAAACTTTCCCCTTGAATTAGAGGTCTTCCTAAGGACCCACTTGCACTGATCTGGGACAGGAATCTAAACAGCCTGGTAGGCATATAAAGAAACCTTACATCAGAGCAAAATCTCTTTTGAGTGGTCAGTTCTTTGCTTTTTCTAACCCCTCCCCCCCGCAAAAAAAGGTCTATGATGAAAGCTGAAGTTTTTTTAAAAACAGAAAACCTTCTATTTGGAAGGCTGCCTCTTCTACAGTAACAACAATAAAATAGCTGTGGCCATTTAGCAGTTGTTTAAACCCTTAGTAGCTCATTTAATTTTATGACAGCCCTTTGAAAATGATAGTGGTATTTATTCTCTACAGAGGAAGAATTGGAGGCTTAGAGGGACACAGAAACTGCCCGTAGTCTAATGGCTGGGGAGTGCTAGAACAAGCCCGGAACCAAGTGCGCTTGACTGCAGATTTTGCTTTTCACTAGTAGGCTTTGTGGCTTCTCTTTTCTATTACATCAGTTCGTCTATTTCATTAGTTTCCCTGTGTGCTGGGGAGACACACAAGCTGTTTCACTGAGGTTGTACCTTTGGCTTATTATATGGTGTCTGTCTTCTTCCTCTCCCTAGCTATGGGGTGCTGCTTTGGGAGCTGCTGACCGGGGAGGTGCCCTTCCGAGGCATTGATGGCTTAGCGGTGGCTTATGGAGTGGCCATGAACAAACTTGCTCTTCCTATTCCTTCTACATGCCCAGAACCTTTTGCCAAACTCATGGAAGGTAAGTAAACCCCCTCTTGCACAAAACAGGAGACAATTTACCCTTTTATAGCACTTGGTAGATGCTGGCCAGTTTCATAAGATCAGTTTTAGAAAGAGGAGAAAAAGTATTTTTCTCTTGAGGAGGAGTCCTGTGGGCAGCTGAAAGATCTACTTCAAAACGATGGCAACACCCTGCTGTAGCAGGTTCCAGGAGGGACCTCGTTTCCAATGACTGTGGTGTTCACTTAGTAACTAAGGCCTACTGTCCATTACTTTGGTATCTTATGATTTAACACAAAATAAGGAGGTATATTGGCCCTTATTTCAGGATCTCTGAGTGTCTTACATACAAAAGGAACAACTGAGAAGAAAGGAACTCTAAAGTATCTAGTCAGATCCCACAATTTTGTAAGTGAGAAAAGAAAAAGAAAAGCGGAGCGAGGTTAAGTGGGTAAGCGGCCACCCCATCGCTTAGTAGCGGAGCTGGAATTAGAGGAAATTCACTTTTCCCACCCTGATGCTTGTATCTTTGCCTTCTCATCATTCTACTGTGGAAGGTGAGAGGAGAGGGTAGCTCATGTATTTATGGGAAATTGAGGGCTGGGCTGTAGTTACCCATTGCCAAGACTTGAATTGTGTACTAACATGGTAAATTGTGGTGGTAGTACTTTACACAGAAACCTCTTGAGCTCAATTTTGTTTTTTTGTTAGTTTGTTTTATTTTGGTACTGAGGATCAAACTCAGGACCTTGTGCTTCCAAAGCAGGCGGCGAAACCACTGAGCTAAATCCCCGGCCCTCAGTTTTGTTAATTAACATCAGAACTGCTGCAATTAGATTTCTAGTTCACTCAGCTTTATTTCCTGAGTTCTGTTTGGGACTGCCTAAATTCTAATCTGTTTCTGGAAGGAGAAAGGAGAATTTCTTAGTAAATGAGATCATAGAATAACCCAAGTCTTCTGTTTGCCTTTGTCCATTCACGCTTTCTGTTTCCTCATGTATTCCTTTCAGACTGCTGGAATCCTGACCCCCATTTACGACCATCTTTCACGAGTATCCTGGACCAGCTGACTACCATAGAGGAGTCTGGTTTCTTTGAAATGCCCAAGGACTCCTTCCACTGCCTTCAGGATGACTGGAAGCATGAAATTCAAGAGATGTTTGACCAACTCAGGGCCAAAGAAAAGGTAAAACAGAAAAAAGGCATACATTGGCTTAGTGGACTTTTTCCTATAGGGCTGTGAACTAAGTTTGTCTGACAACTATGATTCTGACACAGCCACCTTTCTGCTTGGTATCTTTTTTCTTTTTTGATGCTGGGGATCAGGTCCTTGCGCTTGCGAAGCAGGCGGCGAAACCACTGAGCTAAATCCCCGGCAAGAAGCCTAGTACTTTTTTTGGTAGCAGGGATTGAACTTGGGACCTTGAGCTTTCGAGGCAGGTGCTGGAACCACTGAGCTAAATCCCCGGCCCGGTATCTTCTTAATTGTGCACACGGAGGAAGCACACCAACAGGCAGCTGCCAGTGGGGTGTTATACCTGCCAGCTGAAAATATGAGAGGATTTTGGAAAAGTTTCTTGGTTCTATAGTGGACTTCCAGAGAGAAGTACACTTGATGTAGAGATACTTCAACATTTAGAAAAGCTACCCGAACATCCCATGAGCATCTTTTGGTATCAGAGTCAGACACAGATGATTTAGAAATACCATGGATCTGAAATTGTGTGTTTTTCCTGAAAGAGCTCCAGGCACAGACCAGCTGGGGAGTTCACAGAGTCCTAGCCTGCTAGAGATCTGCCTTTGTGTTTCAGTGGCCATTCCTCTGGATATCATTAGTGTCACTGCCCACGTAGGTGAAGGCAGTAAAACAGTTATATGGCCTACTCTGTCGGGGCAGGGCTAAGTCTGAGGGGTAGCAGGGGCCTGAGGGATTCCATGTAGATTTGGCTAATTTCTTTTTTTGCTTTTCACTCTGAACAGCAGGAATTTGGGAGGTTAATAGCAATATGATACTAATAGTGGCTAAAATTTTAAATGACTTTATTGTTTTCCAGTTGTTTTGCTTGAGGTCTTTTTGTCCTTTTTATCCAGGAGTCTTCTGGCTCCTGTCACCATTTTATATTGCAGGTGTTATTGTTTCCATCTCAGAGCTGAGGGCCAGTTGCTTCCTCAAGTCCCTGAGATAGTAAATGGGGAGGCAGGACCTTGACCTTGGGCCTTCTGATTCTAAAACCCATTTTCTTTGCTGTATTATTGTTTCCCTACCCAAATGACTTAGAAATAATTGTTGAAACTGGTTTGAAGAGTTTTTATGGAACTCAGAAATCTTAAACATAGTACCTTTTGGCAAGTCATTGACTGTTTTGTAGGAGAGTGGAGTGAGTTTATGACAAATTTTTAGAGACTCTGCTGGGTGGACCTGCACTGAACATAAAATGGAATCATCCCAAGAAACTCTTATATCATCACTGCTATGGCCACTAGAAGAACTCCTAGAGCCGCTGGCGTTGTTTTAAATTGTTAAATTGCTAACTCTTAGTTGTTTTTCTTTTGATTGATTAAATTACAATGTAATTATAAATTACATTAACCAGTAAGACACATGAAAATTGGATTCTGTTATAAGTAGTTACGGGAATCCCCCCTTATCTGTCATCTCACTTTCTGAAGTTTCAGTTAACCATAACCAACCATTGTCCAAAAATATTAAATGGAAAATTCCCCAAGTTTTAAATTGCATGCATTCTGGATAGTGTGATAAAATCTTGCATTGTCTCGCCAGGGACGTCAGTCGTCCCTCTGACCTCATGTACCTGCCTGTTAGTCATTCAGTAACAGTCTCAGTTATCAGGTCAAGTATCATGGTGTTGCAAAGCTTGTGTTCAAGTTGCCCTTATTTTACTCAACAGTGGCCTCAAAGTGCAAGAATAGTGATGCTAGTTATTTTATTATGATATATTGTTATAATTTTATTAGTTATTATTGCTTATCTATGCTTAATTTCTAAATTAAAGTTGATCGTAGGTATGCATTAGAGGAAGAGACACAGTATGTATAGGTTTTGGCACGACCTGTGGTTTTGGGTATCCACTGGAGGGTCTTGGAACATATCCCTGTGGATAAGGGGTCACCACTGGTACTGTCCTAGGAAAAATCAAACCCATTCTCATAGCAGCTCACATTGTAGAGCATGTAGTGTGTGCCATACTGTTATAATTTTTATGACTTGTCTTAGGTCCATAATGTCAGTACTTCTAACTCGATATTACTTGTGGTGCCCTCATCACGCCCTCAGCCCCATTTCTAGACCTTGGCCTCTGGCATCAGCTTCTCTGGCTGATTCCGCCATGAGGGTGTTCTGAACCTTCCTTTCCCCACCGCTTAGGATGGTCAGGTGTTCACTCACCAGCTAACTGCGGAGCCCTCCTCTCCCCCGGGCATTGTGGGAGAGCCCTTCAGGTTGTTGTGAGCGTGAGTCCTTAGAGCTCTCAGGCCCACCCAGAACCCCTCTGCACTGAGTGACCCACTTTTCCCTCTGACGAACTTGCCCACCCTGCAGGAGCTCCGCACCTGGGAAGAGGAGCTGACACGGGCTGCACTCCAGCAGAAGAACCAGGAGGAGCTGCTGCGGCGTAGGGAACAGGAGCTGGCCGAGCGGGAGATTGACATCCTAGAACGGGAACTCAACATCATCATCCACCAGCTGTGTCAGGAGAAGCCCCGGGTGAAGAAACGCAAGGGCAAGTTCCGGAAGAGCCGGCTGAAGCTCAAGGATGGCAACCGAATCAGCCTGCCCTCTGGTCAGTGGCTTTGGGTGGGGGTGGGAGCAAGGCCAGGAGCTTGTATGCTGGGGGGCTTGTGGGAGCTGCTGTTAAGCTTGGAGACATAAGACTGCAGGTCTCAAGGGGACTCATTGGAATGGGCCTTTGTGTGCTGTGGAAAGACTGGTTTGCTGAAAATCTGCACCATTCCAGGGGAACTGTAGAGTGAGAATGAATGGAGACCACGAAGTGAAGAGACCCTGGCATGGTCCAGGCTGCTGGTCAGGCGGCTCAGCTAGGTGCATCTCACTGTAGGTAGAGATGCAGAAGGGAGCATACAGTTGAGGGTGTCTGTAGTGTGTATATGTGAGACAGGAGAAATCTTGGCTCAGCACAACAACTCATCTCAAGGTTTCTTTGAATAATTAGTTCTCTGCAGTTGAGATTAGGTACAATGTATATGACCGTTTAGAAATACACTGGCTGAATACAGACACATTTGTGGAATTAGAGCCTTTGGCAAAATGCAAAGAAATATGAAAGTATGAATTAGAATCTTTGTGGTGTGTAATATACCCACGGAGGAAGGTGATTGATTGTTCAAGTGTATGTTTCTATAGATAAAAATGTTCTTTGTGTTCTGAGTCTATAAGGCCCTCGAGAGCAAGCTTATCAGAAGTGTAAGGAGCCATGGAAAAATGGCATGATAAGAGCAGTTGTGGATGATTTTAAGACTTAGGCCCAGACAGGGAATTCTGAGAATGTGCTCATGGGACATGTTTGCTGATTTCCTTGTTGCACATTTTTTTCTTTTCAGATAGCGTGCAGTTTTTAAGTCCCTCTTGAGCATCTAGCTTGTGCCCATGTAGTGCTGTGCTGGAGGTGCAAATATAAAAAATATAGACCCCATCTGCAGGAGATCACAGTCTAGCAGGGAGACCTAGGTGCAAACAAGCAGCTGTTTTTTATGCCTCTTAGGAGACAAACTTAGGAGTTCAGAGCTGTAAGTTTTGTATTTTTATGCTGTACCATAACTACCTTTGGAAGATGTCAGAACTGAGGGACTTGCCCCATCTCTCTTGGTTCCCTAGGTTCCCACTATGGATTAGCTCTTAATACTGTGCTCTGACCACGTTTAGTGAGGAGCATTTGTCTCCCTGCTCTGGTCCCTGAAAAGATGGCACGAAACTGAGGTTTTAAGTTACATTTCCTAGAATAGTCAACAAGATCTCGTGAGCTAATAGCTGTTCTCAATGTGTAATTGCTCCACATATACTCATTAAATAGAGATTTTATGAAGACTGTCTTAATGGGCCAGGGATTTAGCTCAGTGGCACCACGCCTGCCTTGAAAGCACAAGGTCCTGATTTCGATCCCTGGTATCAAAAAAAAAAAAAAAAGACTATCTTAATAATGTTTACTTGGATAATGAATTTTCATACATTCAGCTTGCCATGTCCCTTTGAGAAAAAGAATTCTGAAAGGAAACCTTTCCTAGGTGAACAGAGATTTTCAGGAAACTAGGGCCTATCCCTCAGGCCTGTCAGGAGATGTCAGATTTCTTAAATGAATTTGATGACGGGATAGTTCTAATGCATATATGTGTTTGTCTTTTTCCAAACAGATTTCCAGCACAAGTTCACAGTGCAGGCCTCACCAACCATGGATAAAAGGAAGAGTCTTATCAACAGCCACTCCAGCCCTCCTGCAAGCCCCACCATCATTCCTCGCCTTCGAGCCATCCAGTGTGAGACTGTTTCCCAAGTTGGTTGGGGCCAGAACACACTAGGGGCATCTGTCCCCTGCTTTATCCAGCCACCGACTGGTCCAGGCTTGCTCCATCCATAACTCCCGCCACCTCTCCTCAGCACTGTGTATATACATGCACATATGTACGCAAAGGAATAGTCGCCACCCCACCCCGTCTATCTCTGTTAACTATCTCTGCCTCCTCCGCCTTTTACTCTTGGTCAGATATCAGCAGAGGGGTTTGTGGGTACTGAAGGCTCTTTAGTGAATTACAAAGCCATTAGGGGGCTGGGATGTGATACAAATACAGGTTGGTTCACTGGCCAGGGGGCCCAGTGCCCTCTGCCCCATTTGGGGTCTTGTTGTATTTCTTTTGTTGATGCTTCTCAAGGAAGGTCTTTCCCAAAGTCCAGGTACTAAGAAAACTTGCCAAATACTTTACAGTGGGCAAAATCTGGACTGATTTTATTTTTATCATAGTATTTGCTTGTAAAAAGATGAGTATGCGTGCATATATATAGATATATATATATATATATATATATATAAATATATGGGGGTGTGTGTGTGTGTATGTGTCTATATATGAACGAATTAGTTTCCCAGTGTAAAGATGGATTTCATTTAAGAATAGTGGATTTCTGGCCTTGACAAAGCAAATCAAATCAGTGGGTTCCCTTTTTCATGTGGCTACAGTTGGCTGGAACTGATAGCAGCTTCTGTTTGCTCTAGTTTGCCTCAGTCCCCTCAACTCTCTGTTTTGGTAACTGGTTCCCTTCACTCCTTTCTGATATAAGCCTCTCCCTGAGGCCTGGGGGTCTCAGCTGTTGCTCTAGGTAGCAATGTGAGAAGAATCTCCCTCCTCTCTTCTATTGCTCTGTGCCTATTCTTCCCTTCTGTCCTTCTCCACTGGACTTCTTGCCCCATAGCTTTGAACTCCTCATCTTCTCTTCCTTTTCAAGTCTTTCTTTCCAAAAGTTGTGCTCTTCATATTTAGCTCACTCCTCATCCCTCCACCCCCAACTTCTTCATTCCCTGACCATCCAATTCTATCCCCAAAAGCAAGTTCTTTAGTTCAGATCTGCTTGGAACTCTGTATCTGACTGGCTTGAGTTTATGTTTAGTACTTTGAGAGTGCTAAATGATTGGTGTCTGGGGACTCCATTACTTGTCTGGAATGGTCCACCTGAGCACAGAGTTTCTGATGAGATCTCACTTCCCTCCTGCTCCTTGTGTGCATGCATGTGCGTGTGCGTGCTGGGGTAAAGGCTAGCTTTGGAGGGCCCTGTTTGTCTATTTTCTAGATCTTATTTCAACTTCTGTTATTCACAGTGACACCAGGTGAAAGCAGCAAAACCTGGGGCCGGAGCTCGGTCATCCCAAAGGAGGAAGAGGAGGAGGAAAAGAGGGTCCCAAAGAAGAAGGGCCGGACGTGGGGGCCAGGGACTCTTGGGCAGAAGGAGCTCACCTCAGGAGATGAAGGGTAAGAGCCAAATGATGTGAATTCTCTCTCACTTCAAGGGTGCCCCATTTAAAAACATGATGTGAAATACCTTTTTCTCTGTTGTATATTTCAATACTTTCTGAGAAATTACAGCCTTCTTGGTCTTTACAAGCAGCCTTTTCCAATCTCTTGTTTCTTGGGAACCTACTAGGACAGGGATTAGTAAGGTTTTTCATAAAGGCCCAGATGATAAAT